CCAGTTGGGACTACAGGGAAACCCTGACTCAAAGAAAAAAAAAATTCACCTGGCAATCTTTTTCTATGAATGCCATATACAGACATTATAAAAGAACATTACTTCATTATATTTCTACTGCTACCACCTATGCCAACAAGATCAACATTAAAAACTGGTTAGCCTGCCATAAAGACGGCACTTTCAATGTGATTTATACTAGTATTTTCTAAAGGAAGTTGGGATGGTATGCTGATATTATTCTTTCAACTGCACACATATACACATATATGAACATCTATATCTCTCTATATCTATATTTAAATTTGTGAGTGTATGTGCACAGGGAAGCCAGAAGAGGACATTGGGCATCCTCCTTTATCACTCTGCAGCTAGTCCTTTGAAGTACGGTCGCTCCTTGAGTCTGGCACTCATGTTTTCTTGCCTAGGCTGTAAGCTAGCACGCCCCAGTGATCCTTTGTCTCCAGGCACCTCAGATTTGGGGTTGCCAGAGCATGCAGGATGCTTGGCTTGTTACATGAGTGCTGAGATCCCAACTCAATAGATGGTTCAGCAAATGCTGTAACTGCTGAGCTATCTTTCCTACCACCAGAATTTGAATTTTGAGGTTTTTTTTTTTTTTTTTTTTTTTTTGAAGCAGGGTCTCCCTGTAGTCCCAGCTGTCCTGGAACTCATTATGTAGAACAGGCTGGCCTTGAACTCACAGAGATTCTGCCTCCCAAGTGCTGGGACTACACGTGTGTGCCACCATGCCTGGCTGTTGAATTTTGAGTTTTATGCTTACTAGGATTGTAAACTACACTGCACCCTCTTTATGAGTAATGGAGAACACTGAATGTTTTAATAGAACATGAGGTAACAAGTTTAACAACTCAGGAAGAAAACAAGAAGTAACTTTAATAACATCATTCAGTTGTAATAAAATGACATACTCACAGAGATCCACCTACCTCTGCTTCCTAAGTGCTGGGATTAAGGGTGTGTATCACCATGTCTGGTAATATTTATTAAAAGGTTTATTTCTATTACTTTTATTTATGTATATGTGTGTGTATATGTCTGTGTGAGTGAATGCCACATGTATGTGCCCACAGAGACCAGAAGAGGGTGTTGGATCCCTTGGAGCTAGAATTAATAGGTGGTTGTGAGTCATCAGATGTGGATGCTGGGAACAGAACTCAGGTCCTCTGGAAGAGCAGCAAGTATTCATAAACACTGAGCCATTTTTCCAGTCTCTAGTCCTTGCTATTTTTTTATGGCTCAAGTAAGAGAACTGACTTATTGGAGAAGTAGATGTTTAGCTATTATGTTTCCATCATTCCACAGGATCAAAAAACTTGGACACTTAGTCAAATCACCTAACTGAATGATTCTCAAAGTGAGACACGAGAACAGGCAGAACAGCTATGTCACCTAAGGGAGATTTTTTTTGAAAAAATATATAGCCTTGCACAGCCTTCCCCCTCTTGAACCTTCTACTGGAATTCTTGCACATCTCAAGGATGCCGATTCTAACATAGCTCATAGTGTGACTGTCAGATTAGAGGAAGGTGCTTTAAAAAAGGGAGGGCTATAATCCCCCAAACTCACCAGATGATTTGATATGACAGTGTTGGTCTTTCAGTTAGAAATATCTATAACAGAAAATGTTTCAAAAGACTATGATAGGTCGCTAGAATAAAATACTAAGGGAGTTGATTTTTGTTAACATTATTGCTAAATGCCTTAAACTTAACAGTTCAATCATTTAAAAATACTCTACAGTGTGAGGTTTAAGGCACAATGAGTCCTAATTAGTGTTTTAATAAGTGTGTTAGCACTGTCTTGTACTATTCTGGAATGTCACTTATGGTAAATTAAGGGACACTTCCCCCCCATCTTCCATTAGTATTTTAATGCTAGGAGGTGGGAAAAGGCTGATCCATATTCAAGAGGAAAGGAAGGAAAACAATAACAAATTGGCATCTATTCTGTGAATTGCCCCACAGGCCAAGCATTTTTTATATTCTTAATCATTATTAAATGACTTAACATGACACCCAGAGCCTGGCGAATGACTGCATCCTGACATGAGAACGAATTACAAATGAAATGAAAGATCAAGCTGTATTAGAAGACTGCCTCTGGGAAATGAAAATCTTTAATTCTCTTTTATTATTGACATTTATTTGGCTGCCATGAATAACAACATAGCAAAGAGTTCAACTATGCTTGTGCACCGAAGAGCTTATCCCAGGGCTAAAAACTGAATTAACATTTATCATGTTTGCTTTTGTAGCTGACACCACTGAACAGATTCTCGATCCATCTTGTATCTATCATGCATTGCAGATATTTAAGTTTATTTTCATATGGTAGGAACAGCAAGACTAGCTAGGTCTGTCCTCAGATTCCTTGTTACAAACATTCTTAAGAATGGTTTAATACCTTAATAGAGAATATAAATAAGTCCAGAAAGAAATTGAGTCACAAGATAGGGAAGCTGAATTTCAGCTTGGAGAAAATCATGCAAATTCACAGGACAGGAGACACTTGCATGATAGGTGTTTCTAGGATACAGAAAGCCTTAAAATGAGCACTATCACAAAGAGCAACCCAATAGCATTTCATGAATTTGAAGGTGGTGTTATAGTTCCTATAAGAAGTCTGCATGCTTTTTACGTTTCTAACTCTTCGTTCTAAGACAGGAATGGCCCACACACTATAATAAGATATCATCCAGGTCGTCTGTATCGATGCAGGGCTACTCTTTCATGGGTTCTTTCTTTTCTTTCATGTAAATTAACAACATACCTTTTCCTTCCACAGCAATAAAAGATTACATGGTACCTGATGCCTTTGCTTACATGATCCTCTTTGGCTGGATTGCCCTCCTTATTTTAAATCGCTCCTAGAATTCAAGGCTTAGCAGGGATATTGATCTAAGGAAAGCCACTTAACACCTCTGAATCTTGTTTGAAAAAACATTTCTTAGTTTTTCAGAAGTATTCATCATTGAAAATTTCAAGTATATAAGGGGGTGGATTCAACAGCACAATTGTACATATAGCTGCTGCCCAACTTCAACAATCAACTCATGGCTGGTTTTACTTCATGACACTCTCAACTCTTCCACTTACTCAATTCTTTAGAAGCAAGTCTTGGAGTCTGACTTTTGACAATTCTACAACAAGGAAGTTGAGCAAACTACTTCTATACTGGACAATAATTTACTTCAGTCAGGTGTGATGGTGCACACGTGTAATCCTAGCACTTGGGAAGCTGAGGCAAGAGAATTGCTCCACATTTGAGACCAACCTGGGCTACATAGAGACTTCAAGATAAACCTGGGCTATACCAAAGGAAATAAAAAAGAGAAAATTACTTCATATTCAGTAGAATGTCTTTGTTGATCTTCAAGTCAATATAATCCATATAGTTTGTACCAATAAATCACAAGTATAATTATACTTTATATTTATATTGTACTCAATATTTTACATGCAGTAATTTTATTTTGTAGCTATTTAAAGGTTATATATTATATTCAATGTTCAGATGAGTACTGAACAAACACATTGGTAATAATTATATTACTGTTTATAAAAATCATTAACTGGTTTTAAGATGACTGGTTCAAACAAAATTAAAAGGCTTGTATTTGCTTTTAATGATAGGTAATATCATATTGACAATATCAATCATTTTAACCAGTAACGTGTTTGTTCACTAGATGGAACTCCAATTTTATGTCTATGGCTGCTATAAAAATAGAAACGAGCCAGGCATGGTGGCACACACCTTTAATTCCAGCACTTGGGAGGCAGAGGCAGGTGGATCTCTGTGAGTTCAAGGCCAGCCTGGTCTACATAGTGAGTTCCAGGACAGCTGGGGCTACAGGGAGACCCTGCTCAAAAAGACCAAAAAAAAAAAAAGAAATGAGATTTTCTTCTTGAAGGAAAATCTGAGGCCTGGCCTGGTCGCATAGGCCTATAATCTGGATCCCACTTCCTTCGGAAGCTGAGGCAGGAAGATTACGAGTTCAAGGTCAGTCTGTGTGCCATGACAGGCTACTTAGTGAGACTCTGTCTCAAAATAAAAGGTTAAATAAAATAAAATATGAAAATGGAATGAGGATATAGCTCAGTGGTAGGGGACTTGTCTCACATGCACAAGGCCCTTGGTAAGATTCCCAGGCCTACAAACATCACCTACCCAAACAACTAACATCAAAGGAAGAAACTTTCTGGATTGTGTTTGTTTATAATTGAATAACTTCATCTTATTATGGCACAAGTATTTCTGTATAAAAGGCTTTTGTTTGTTTGAGATTGGGTCTTAGTACAAAGGCCCTGGCTGGCCTGGAACTTCCTATGTAGACCAGGTTGGCCTCAACAGAGATCTGCTTGCCTCTGCCTCTTGAGTACTGAGATTAAAGATGTGCACCGCCATGCCTGACAAATGCATTTTTCTTGTTTGTTTTTTTTTTTTAATATCTTTTTGAGACAGGGCAGGGTCTCCCTCTAGCCCCAGGTGGCCTGGAACTCACCATGTAGACCAGGCTGGCCTTGAACTCACAGAGATCCGCCTGCCTCTGCCTCCCAAAGGCATTTATGTTTTAAAGGAAAGATATTTCTAGATTAACAATATCTCCAAAGCTTCGAAAGCAAATAAACTATATTAAAGTAATTTAGCCCAATTGACTCACTATGTAGACCAGGCTGGCCTTGAACTCACAGAGATCCACCTGCCTCTGCCTCCCAAGTGCTGAGGTTAAAGGCAAGCGCCACCATGCCCGGCCATAAATTATAATCTTGAAAATGAAATTCTTCCCACAGGGATAGAGAAGAATATCAAAAAAAAAAAAAAAAAAAAAACCTGTAAAAAGCACATTGCTGTGAATAGCCTATAAAAGAAGGAATATAGAATCTGATTTAGCTCCATAATTCTGGATTGTTTCTGTAGCCCAAGCTGGCCTTGAACTTGTTATCTCTCTTTTCTCATGCAGTTTCCACAAGTACCTGTAGCCATTATAGTGTCATCTCTCCCTTGGGTGAAGATCACAATTCGCTGCCTCTTCGAGTTCACCTTTGGAAGAGCTTGTGTCTTTTTGGCGATCTCCTTAATGTCTTTAGTCTGTTAATAAGAGGGGAAAAATATAATTAATAGGTTAACAATTTTGCTTCTGATAGGACCTGAGCATCTACTAGAAAAAGACTTTAACCATATACAAAAGTAACCGGGTCAACATAATAACTTCTGGGGAGCCTATCATCAACCTGGCAAAACTTTACATTTTAAGATGAACCTTATTTCATCTATGTCTTCACTTACTTGCCATTCACTTTATGTGCAAACAAACCTCAAGTACTTTATAATTTTATATATAAATGTAATAGTACATACTTCTGAAAACTAATGACTTAAACATAATCATGATATACTTTACAAAATTCTGTGTAACATGTGAAAGGCCCAAGGTTCAATTCCTAGTGTAGGAAAAAAAAAAAAAAGGTAATCTTAAATCTCCTGTTACTTTGAAGAATGTCTTTGGGTTGGGGATTTAGCTCAGTTGTTATAGTGAATGCTTAGCAAGTATAAAGTCTCAGATTTGGTCCCACCACCAGAAAAAAAAATCCTTAATATTAGCAAATAATAGCTAGTCAAATTGCAAATTAAAGTTAAAAAAGTGATTCATTTTTCTTTGAGACTGGCTCTCACTGTATACCACAGGGTAGCCTCAAACCTGTGATTCTCCCGCACCTGCCTCCCATGGGCTGGGATTATAGGAATTTATCAGAACACCTGAGTAGAGAAGTTGTGGGTTTTTTTTTTTTTTCGGTCTTTTTGAGACAGGATCTCCCTGTAGCCCAAGCTGTCCTGGAACTCAGTACGTAGACCAGGCTGGCCTTGAACTCATAGAGATCTGTCTGCCTCTGCCTCCCGAGTTCTGGGATTAAAGGCATGCGCCACCTCGCCTGACAGAAGTTGTGGGTTTTTTAAAAAACGTGTACATGCATGTGTGTGTGTGTGTGTGTGTGCATTGTGTGCATTTGAGCATAGGTGACCAAGGAGAACCAGAGACATTAGATCCCCTTGGAACTGGAGTTACAGGCAGTTGTGAGCCATTGGCTTGCTATGGGTGCTTGGAAACAAACTCTTGTAACTACTGAACCAACTCTCCATCCTTCAAAGCAAAGCTTTAAAAAAGAGGAATATTTTCTATTTTAGATGTTTATAGAATATGATTATGCTAACGTTGGAAATATATATTTGTGATCATGCCAAATTTTCAAAAGAATTGATTGAGAAAGAAATGCAGCCCTTACTTTCTGTCTTAAAGACTTAATTTTCTTTAAGAATATATATGTAAGCCTGGTGTGGTAGCACACTTCTGTGGAACCAAAAGTGTGCGCCACCACACCCAGCAGACTGGGCTTTTTGGGCAGTCTGCTCTATCACTGTACAAAGCTGCATGCACTTATGGAGAAAGAAACACATAGCAGAGGAGAAATGTATGACTATAAGAAAAAAAATCCTATATAAAGAAGAAAATTTAGATAAGCAAACCTAGAGTCACAATAACACTTAAGAGACAACCCAAAACTTTTACACTTAAAGTATGACAACAAGGAGATGGCACAAGCCTATAACCCCAGCACTTGGGAAGAGAAGGCAGGAGTTTACTAGCCTGGACTATACCTTTGGGTTGCAGATGTACCTTATGTGGTAGAATGCTTGCCTAACATGCATGAGGCTCTAGGCTTGATCCCTAGAATTGCATAAATCAGACATGGGTATGCATAAATGCAAGCCCAGCACTTGGGAGGTAGAGGCAGGAAGATCAGGAATTCAAGGCCAGCCTTTGCTACCTAGAATTTGAGGCTAGCCTGGGCTACTGAGACCCTGACTCAAACAACAGCAGAAAACATGAACATCTATAGTAAAATATTTTCTGGTTGTTTGCTTACTAAATACTTAAGAAATTCCACAAAGTCTACCTTCTAATACACCTAACACACTGACTTCCAAGACTCTTTCTGGAAGACAAAAAGCCACTGTTCATAGGACAATGCTGGCAACCTTTTAAACATGCTGATGACTTCACTTTTAGTTGCTTATTTTAGAAGAGAAGTAAATCCAACTCTGATGAGAAAAGAAATAACCTCAATTTTTGAAGACTGGCTATTAGAAATACTTGATAACAGCTGAAACGCCATATAACATCTTCACTTTGTGAAAAAATGCACATTTAATTAGAATGACTCGTGTGTATTATACCAACATCCTTAGCACAAACATACTTTACTAGTAAAAGATTTTTGGATTAAGTACAGTTCATATTTAATAAAATGGCAGAGATTCACTCCGTTACCAGGAGAGAAGAGTCATATGCAGACACTAGACACTTTGTATTTCAAAACATATTTTTACATTTATTTATTTAATTTTGTGTGTATATATGGGCACATGCATGATGGAGTGCGTGTGGAAGTCAGTGGGCAACCTGTGGGAGTCAGTTCTCTCTTTCCATCATGTGGGTTCCAGGGATTAAACTCAGGTCCTCAGGCTTGAAAGTGCCCTGACTTGCTGAGTCATCTTACTAGTCCTGTTTTTTAATTAATTAATTAATTAATTAATTAATTAAATTTTATATGGATTTGTTGTTGCTGTATTGTCCAAGCAGGTCTCACACTGCTAGGTTTGAGCATTCCTCTTCTCCTGTTTCTGCCCCCAGAACGTCTGAGACTACAGGTACATGCCATTGTACCCAAGGAACTTCTTTCTTTTTAAGGAATCCTTCATGATGGTATAAAGAATAAATCAACAGTCAGGTTCCATGGCTTATTTCCACCAACCCTTTGAAAAGATACATTTTGCTATGGGAGCCTGATAATTTAGTCAAAGAAACTTTTCTTTGGTCTCAAACTTAATCTCATAAAAGTTGCAATTCAAGATTGAAGGCAGCTCCAAATACAAAGAAGAAACTTCTAGATTTATGTAAACTTTATTCTACTGGGATCCACAATCACATTTCATGCAAAGTCCTTCGGTTGCCCACTCTAGGGTCACTGGGAGTAAGGACCTGATCTAAATGTCTCACTGTCCACATGTCTCTTGTTTGCTTGCATGTGTTGACTTTCATCTAGTATGAGTTTTTCTCAAAACCTCAAATTTTATCTTCCCAAAGCCACAGATTCTTAGTTCCACAATATTTACACTTCTCCATCATCCTCGGGTTTTGCTCCCTCACATGCAAGCTCATGCATCATAACAGAGAGATGAAATCACAAAGACAAGCCTTGATTTATATGTGACTTTGAACAGGTTAATAAACCTAAGATTCAGTTTATTTATTGACAAAACTAAGGAAATACTTTACTAAAAGATGTTGGGGCTGAGCATGCAGCTCAGTGGGAGAGTGAGTGTTCGACATGTGCAAAGTCCTAGGTTCAATCCTTAGCACCAACTCTCCCTTTAAGATATTTACTCATCATGAAAGGAAAGGAGAAAATTGATAAACATCACCTTAACTTGTGATCAATTAAATGATACTGAAATTAGTGAACAGAAGAGGATACATGCATAGTCACAAAGAATCTCCATCAAAATATTTTTCTGTTTATGCATATAGTTCTGGCTGGCCAGGAACTCACTGAGATCCACCTGCCTCTGCTTCTGGGATTAAAGGCATGTGCCACTACACCTGGCTAAAACAGTTATTAACTGCAGAAGAATGGAGCAACTTTACAGAGGATAAAGTAGTACATACCACCTTAGCCCAATGACCAAGGTTAACAGCAGCACTAGTAAGACTTTGTGACATCATTTAACCTCCCTTGTATGATGCTCTGAGAAGGGCACTTCATTTCTGTGGTTTTCCTGTTAAAAGTGAACAATTTCAACTTACAAGAAAACACCAGACAAACCCAAACATAGGGATATTCTAAATTTGTTTTTTGTGTTTTTGAGACATAGTCTCCCTGTAGCCCCACCTGACCTGGAACTCACTATGTGACCAGACTTGGCTCGATCTCAGAGAGATCTCTTTCTGCCTGTCTCTGCTTCCCCAGTGCTGGGATTGAAGGCTGCGAGACCATGTACATTCTAAACACTGACTGACCAGGACTGCAAAAGTGCTAAAGTCATAAACAGTAAGGAAAGACTGAGAAACAGTCACAGACTGGAAGGCACTAACAAAACATGGCATAAATGCAATATTGGTTTCTGGCTTAGATTCTGGAACAGAAAAAGGGAAATAGGGTCAGAGAGATGGCTCAGCAGGGTAAGGCCAAGTCTAATGATGAGCTGAGTTCAATCCCTGGATCCCACATCATGGAAAGAGAGAACTGACTCCAAATTGTCTTCTGATATCATGGAAAGAGAGAACTGACTCCAAGTTGTCTTCTGACCTCCACAGATATGCACACACACACACACACACACCCATAAATAAATACATACATAAATAAGGAAAACAAAGGAAACAGTAGTACAACTAGAATAAGCCTCTTTTTTTTTTCTTCATTGTACCTATGTTAATTTTTTGATTTTGGCCATTATACTTTGGTTCTATAACATATTAACACTGGGGCTGGAGAGATGGCTCAGCAGTTAAGAGCACTGGTTGCTCTTGCAGAGGACCCAGATTCAAATCCCAGCACCTACATAGTGGCTAACAAGCATTGATAACTCCAGTTCTGAGGGAATCTGATGCCCTCTTCTGAGCTCCATGGGCACTGTACCACACAGGTGCACCTATATACATGCAGGCAATACACACATTATATTATTATATACACATTTTATTATTTTCATTTATAAAATAAAAATAATACATACATTAAAAATTATAAAAGAAAAAAGATGTTAACATTAAGGGGAAGGTATGTGAAAGTTATGTGGAAATTCTGTTCTACTTTTGCTATTGTCTAAGACTAAAGTGATTTAAAAAATAAAAAGGTAAAGCACCTGGTGGTGCATGCCTGTAACCCTAGCCCTAGTGAAAATGAAGCCACTAGGGGTTACATAGCAAAACCTTATCTTAATATAGCTGTACCCTTATGTACACTCCTATAATCCCAGAACATAGGAGATTGAGGCAGAAGGACCATCTTGAGTTCTAGGCCATCTTG